TGTTAATTATGTATGAAGATAAATAAAACCTATACTTATATATAAATAAAAATATATATATATATATCAGGCAGAAATAATGACATACATGTTTTAGCCTCTATACTTACACAGACTGTATTTTTATATTATAAACTATTAGGTTTGCTGCCCAACAAATTATTCTTAAAAAGTGATACAGATGAAATAAACATCTACCAAAAACATTGTCTTATTATGTCAGTCTGAAAGAAAAGTGATCACCAAACTTTGACTTACAAGCAATTTTAAACTTCATTCTGAATCATCCTTTTTAAAAAATTTATTTTGAATAATTATAGATTTAGAGGTAGTTGCAAAAAAGATGTACAGGGAGCTTCCGTGTATCCTTCAGTCCGTTTCCCCCAATGGTAATTTTCTTGCATAACTGTGGTACAGTGTGAAAACCAGGCAATCGACATTGCTACAATCCACAGAGCTTATTCAGGTTTCAGTACTATTATGTCTGTGTGTGTATGTGTTCATATTGCATAGTTCAACACAATTTTATTCTATGTGTAGATTAGTGTGACTAACATCACAATTGAGTTACAGGACAGTTCCATTACCACAAGGCTCCTTTGTGCTATCCCTTTATAGCTACACAGCCTCATGAACTCCCTTCCCAACACTAACTCCTTGAAACTGCTAATCTGTTCTTCGTGTCTATAATTCTGTTATTTCAACAGTGTTATATGATGGAATCATACAGTATGCAACCTTCTCAGCATAATTCTCTTGAGGTCCATTCAAGTTGCTGTGTGCATCAAAAGTGTGTTACTTTTTCATTACTGCAAAGTATTCCACGGTATGGATGCACCATTGTTTGTATAATCATTCACCTGTTGAAGGGTATTAAGGTTGCTTCCAGTTTTTGGCTATTATAAATAAAGTTGCTATGAACATTCATATACAAGTTTTGTGTGAAAATAGTTTTCATTTATCTGAGATAAGTGCCCAAGAGTGCAACTGCTGGGTCATATGGTAAGTACATGTTTAGTTTTATAAGAAAGTGCCAAATTATTTTCCAGAGTGGTGACTATTTTATGGTCCCATCAAAAATGTCTGAGTTAATGCCTTTGCATCCATACCAGCATTTGATGTAATTTTTTATTTTAGCCATTCTGATAGATATATAATATCTCATTGTGGTTTTTTTTTTTTTTCGTGACCGGCAACGGATCGCAACCCTCAGTGTCGCGCCCGTACCGGACCGGGACCGGCTATGGGATCGCAACCCTCA